AGCTCCGTCTTCTAGAGCTTCTTGTTCTTTAGCTTCCAAATCTTGGTAATCCTGTATTCTCTCATTATAATCTTGAATCATCTTTAACAACTTCTCAAGCGTATTCAATTTAATCTTCTTCCAAAGATCATCATTGATCAAGTTGCGTTTTTCTTTGACAAGATTCAAGAATTCCACTAGACAAATCCGTTCATATTTGGGCTGATCGATGCACAAATTCCAGCTAGAATTTCCACGTGACAACAAGTCAAAGATCATCTCCAGCAGCGTATCAAAGGGTAAATTGTTGACAAAATGAAACTCGATTGCCTTGGTCAAGAGTGAGATTGAAATCTGGTGCAAGTTTGCCACAGTAGCCTTGACAAATAGTCTCTTCACGGACTGAATGAGAATCTCCCAGTGCTCTTTGGTAAAGATTGACAAATCACAAATCGATTCAACGTGATCGATGAAGTTTTGCTGAAAGGATGAAATCTCATTGCGATCTCTCGCATACTTGAATACCTCCAAAAGTGCCGACAAATCCCTATTCATCACACAACAATGCAACATGTGAGAAATCAACTCACATCTCTCATCCATATCCGAATTTTCAGCCACCTTTTCCCTCAACTTTGGCACAATTTCTTCGACTGGTAAATGGCATTCCCAAGGGATCTCCGCCCAACAAACATCCTCTCCTTTTCCCTCTTTTTCAATCTTAATCCTCGCTTGTTTAACTCTCTCCTCTAGCGGCAACATCATAAACAATTCTTCCGTTACATTCCTCTCATCATCAAGCAAGTTTTCCCCATAAATCTTCTCATAAGTGTTTAACAGAAATGAGAGTTTATCTTTCGAATAATGCTTTAAATATTCTAAAGCTTGACTTGTGCCGAAGTCTTTTATCTCATCAGGTAAAAGTTTTGGAAACATTGTCTCAAGACTGCGATCATCAAGCTTATCAGCATTTAAGAATCGAAAATAGAGTCGAGGTTTTGTTAAATAGTGTTCTCTCGCATTTCGAGCAAAGAATTCTTTTTGTTTGTTTGATAAAGAAAGATTTGGTCGATTAGGTCGATTTGGTCGATTTGGTCTATTTGATTCATTTGGTTCATTTGGTTCATTTGGTCCATTTGGTTCATTTGATCCATTTGGTTCATTTGGCTCATTTGGTCCATTTGGTTCATTTGATCCATTTGGTTCATTTGGTTCATTTGGTCCATTTGGTTCATTTGATCCATTTGGTTCATTTGGCTCATTTGGTTCATTTGGTTCATTTGATCCATTTGGTCCATTTGGTTCATTTGGTCCATTTGGTTCATTTGATCCATTTGGTTCATTTGGTCTATTTGGTTCATTTAGTTCATTTGATTCATTTGGTTCATTTGATCCATTTGGTTCATGTGGTTCATTTGGTCCATTTGGTCCATTTAGTCCATTTGGTCCATTTGGTCCATTTAGCCCATTTGATCCATTTGGTCCATTTGGATCAAAAGAATTTTCATAAATCTCAATGAAAGTGTGTAGATCTTTTTTGATTAATCTTTTTAGAGAGTCAGTGTCAAGTGGAGCATTGTGCTTGGATCTTGAATCTTGAATTGTTCTGTCATTTGACCTCAACTTCAAATACCAACTCCGGAAATTCGGAAACTTTAAAGAGTATTTGTCGATCTCTTTTATAAAAGGAGTTGAAAAAAGGAGTCGATACTTTAAAATCGAATTCTTGATAAAGTCTTCTGAGCAAGCCATCAGAAAAGCTTTTGCCTTTTGAAAGCCAAAGTCTCGGAGAACGGCTTCGAAAAACTTCTCAGCTATTCGAGTATTTTTACTTAGCCTCAAGCGACGCGGAAGTTTCCTAATCACTTCACATCGTGTATTATAAGAAAGTAAGTGAAAAAGTTTGTCGAAAAGAAATTCAATACTGCTGAATTCATTAGTGAAGTCGAAAAAGTGTTTCTGTGCTTGCAGAGCACTGGCTACAATGTCAGCGTTTTCTGAAAGAAGTCCTTCAACGATTACCTCAAAGTAAATCGCTTTTACTGCCATTTTACTGCTTTCTTTACTGCTTTCTTTACTGCTTTCTTTAATGCATTTTTTCAGCATCATTTTTGCCGCTTCAAGTTTAATCATTGGTTTAATGAATGAGGGAAACTTTTCTGACTTTTCAATTTCATCAATGGTTTTTCCTGATTCAATCAAAGTCTTGATCTCTTCAGCTATCCATACTCGTTTCTCATGAACACTCAAACCCGGCACTTCTTCAATGGATTCCCACATTTTGAACTCACAATTTATTCTATTGAAGTCGTTGATGATGGAAATGAATAGAAGAAACGAATAGAAGCCAAAAAAATGCTAAAATCAAAGTGAAAAAGGTGAATAGAGGTAAACGAAGGACCTTAAAGAAGGACCTTTTTATCTGGTGAGTCAGCATTCTTTTTCATTCTCCGTCTCCACAATTTTCATGCACTTTTCTTCTTGTCGATTTTTCCTTTCGTGCCTTTTCTCTATGTTCTCTTTTGTACTTTATTCTGCAATCAGAAAAGGGCCGTAAAAACCGCGATCGGACCGGTTCTGTGTAATCCAGAATTGAGAAAATCTAGTTGAGAGAACCTAGTTGAGAAAACCTAGTTGAGAGAACCTAGTTGAGAGAACCTAGTTGAGAAAAGCTAGTTGAGAGAATCTAGTTGAGAGAACCTAGTTGAGAAAACCTACAAAGAACACTAGTCAACACTGCTTGAAAAAAAAAGCAAAATTGAGCATTTAAACATATGTTAGGAGTCTGAAAATGTGGTTATTTGGATCTTAGTGGTCTCCTTATGAAGCCTATTATGAATGGTTCATAATCGACTACCGTAAATACTGTAATAGTACCCCACCTCCCTCGTACAGTCGGGTAGTCGCAAAAGCTTTTTAGTATTTCAAATTTTGCAAAGCACCCGTATTTTCAAAAAATTCCTCTTTGGTATCAAAAAATAGCCCTGAATTTCGGCTATTTTTTGATACCTAAACGCGCATTGTAGCATAAACCAGTGTCGAGAAAAACTCGTTCAAAGCTAGACTACGCAACACTCCGCACCGTCATTATGGGGGTGGGGTACTATTATAGTATTTACGGTAACTAATCTAAGGTGCGTTGCAAAATGATAGAACCACCCCTAAATTTTATATTTTTTGGCTATGAAATTTGATAACGCGAAATAGCTTTTAAATCTTAGAAATATATATGTCGTAACCGATTATGAATTTCATCCGATTATGAATGAGTGGGTCTACGAGCGTCCAACCATCAAGTATTTGGTATCATTCAACGCAGAATCATTAATAATTATGTTAAATTTTTAAAATTAGCAAGATTGGATAAAAAGGAAAAAAATTATGGGGTCTCAAAGTTTTCTCTTGAAAAAAAACAGTTTTTTTCCTCTAATTTTTTTTCTTTTTATCAAATCTTGCTAATTTTAAAAATTTAACATAATTATCAATGATTCTGCGTTGAATGTTACTAAATACTTGATGGTTGGACGCTTCTAGACCCACTCATTCATAATCGGCTGAAATTCATAATCGGCTAAGGGGGTCCCGCCGATTTTGAATGAAACGTTGTAGAGCCGGCAATTTTTACAAATACTTGACGCTTTCCACACCCCATCTTCCTAAAAAATAAGAATTAGCAAAAAGTAAGCAAAAAGCGGTTATTACAGGTAGAAAATCAAAAAGAAACATCAAAAAGAAACAAAAAGAAATGATCAAAATCAATAGTATCATTTTGCAAACAGGTGTAAAATAAAGAAATGCTTAAAAAAATTTTGCCTTTTAAAGTAAATTATTTGGCAAACGGTATTTGTGCGTACTTTTGTATATAAAATTCGAATTTAAGCATCGTTTGGCATTTTTAGTTTTGAAGTTTATTGAATTGAAGTCATTTGAAATCAAAAATCACAAAATCAATCGCAAAAATTGAGGGTGGTTCTATCATTTTACAACACACTGAATGAAGTATGAATCAAATGATTTCGCTAGCGAAAATCATAATCGGCTAGTCGATTATGAGTGAAAGTAGTTTTTTCTAGAAGTTTGTCTTTAAATGCAAATTAAAGCAATAATTTAAATGCTAATTAGTATGTTGATAGGGGCCTGCTTGCTTGACCCGGGCCGACCTGCTTGCTTGACTTTTCCGGTCCGGTCTGGCCCGGACAGTTGTCTTTTTTTGGCTTACACCATTGCATATGATTGTACATACGCACTGGACACATTTCGAAACCTTACCACTCGACACTTTTCTGGAAACACAAAAGAGAACCGGGTGTGCTCCGATCTCTGTGGCTTTTTGTGGTGGTTTGCGTTTACACGAATTTGGAATCGGCTAGAACTAGAAGCTCTCTAAATTTGGTTCCTTATCTCTTTAAATTTGGTTCCTTATCTCACTATATTTGGTTCCTTACATCTCTAAATTTGGTTCCTTATCTCTCTAAATTTGTATTCCTATCTCTAAGTTTCGTTCCTTTTATCTCTAAATTTGGTTCCTTATCTCAATCGAAACCTTACCACTAGGCACTTTTCTGGAAATACAAAAGAAAACCGGGTGTACTCCGATCTCTGTGCTTTTTGTGGTGGTTTGCGTTTACACGAAACAACCAGAAGGAATCGACTAGAACTAAAGTCTAACGAAAATTCTCTAAATATTTTGTTTCACAATCCAGAACCTCTATCGAGTGTTTGTGGATCAAATATTTTTTACACAAAGTCATTTTCTATGCAAAAATCTCTTGCTTTTTGATATTTTTGATATTTGATATATATATATATATTGATATTTTGATATATTTGATTAAAAATCTTCTTTAAAATCCTTTATTCATCAAATACACGTTTCGCTTTTAGGTCGAATCATTAATTTAGTCAAATAAATAGTAAGTAAAGGAGGATAATTAAAGAATAAATACTTTAAAAAAAACAAAAGGATTGTTTTTTAATGACGAATTTCTATTTGGTGTGTGTAGAGAGAGATGTGTTGGTTAAGCTAAAAAGTTTTCTTTTTTGATGGATTCTCTTTTTCAAATCCCATAAATTTGTATATGTCGTAGCCGATGAAGGATTTCAGCCGAAGAAGTCTCAGACTTCTTCGGCTAGTCGATTCTGTCTCAAAAATGAAATCTTGAGTTATGTATTGACTCAAGTCAATACCACAAACTCAAGCTCTCTAAAAGGCGCTTAAAAGCTAAAAAGGCATTCGAAAGAGTGCGCATTTTATCATACTATAGTGCGTTTCAAATTCTTAAACGCACCCTCTAAAATAGCGAATTTTGCATTTAAACCACCGCTACAACCATTAATCTTTTTCTATTAGAAAGAGCATGTCTTAAAACCTAAAAAACATGAAAAAGAAGCATACTGTAAAAAGTAAAAATTTTCCAAATAGAAACTTTTTGCTAAATCAACCGTTTCAAATTCTTAAACGCACCCGCCTTTGCTGTTGTTATTTGAAATTTTTCGTTTTGTTGTGCCTATTTTTTTATTAAATTTATAATTTTTGTTAATTTCCAAGTAAATGGCACACGGAAAGCTGCTCACGGATTATGATAAAGGCCAGATTGATGCTCGTTTGAGGATTGGCGACTCAATAAGGAAAATCGCAAAAAATTTGGGCCGATCCGACTCTGCCGTGCGAAATTATATAAAGTCCGAGTTCGTTTCTGTACCAAAGAGGAAACCAGGACCAAAACCAAAGCTTACACAGCGAGCTAGACGCCATATTGTGAACAAAATCCACGAAAAAACGATCAATGAAGTGAAAACGGAACTGAAAATCAACGCTTCGAAGTCGACAATTTGGCGAGCCGTCACGGAAAATCCAGATATCGATCGACATTTATTGAACATGCAACCGGTCGTGAAGCTTTTGCACAAGAAAGCCCGATTGGCGTTCGCCAAGGCTCATATGAATCAGGATTGGTCTATGGTTAGAAAGCCGCTTATGTTTTATTATTTTTTTTGCGTTTAGGTGATCTTTTCCGATGAGAAGAAATGGAATTTGGATGGCCCCGATGGCGTTGGCTACTATTGGAGGGATCTTCGACGTGATCCGATGGTGTTTGGAACTCGAAACTTCGACGGTGGCTCTGTGATGGTTTCGGCCACCTTTTGTGCTGATGGAACGGTCGCTCTGAAGATGGTTTCGGATCGGATGACTAAATAGATATCTTGAACAATTGTTTGTTGCCATTTTTGCTCCTAAATCCAACCGTTCCGGACTTGTTTCAATACGACAACGCCTCAATTCATCGAGCCAGAGCAATCCAGACTGGCTAACCGCCACAACCTTGCAACTTTGGACTGGCCCGCTCCGTCTCCTGACCTCAAACCGATAGAAAATTTATGGGGAATACTGGTCCGAGCTGTCTACAAGAATCATCGTCAGATTCAAGACGCTTCTACACTTAAAGCAGCAAATTTTTCGGCCTGGAGCGATCTCGACGTCTCTGATCTTCAAAACCTCATCAATTCAATGCCAGACCGCATTTTTCAAGTAATTAATCGTTCTGGTGCGTGTACAGATTATTAGTTTTGATTTTTTACCTTTGATTTTTAATTTGTGTCGATAAATAAACATATTTTCATAGTGCGTTTAAGAATTTGAAACGGTTGATTTACCAAAAAGTTTCTATTTTGAAAATTTTTATTTTTTACAGTATGCTTATTTTTCGTGTTTTTTAGGTTTTAAGACATGCTCTTTCTAATAGAAAAAGATTAATGGTTGTAGCGGTGGTTTAAATGCAAAATTCGCTATTTTAGAGGGTGCGTTTAAGAATTTGAAACGCACTGTATAACCCTTTTCGTCAGGCCCTCCCCTCCGTCAAGGCCCTCCCCTTTCACAAAGTTCGTCTTTTTTTCGGCATTGCAGTTCGGCATTGCAAAGGAAAACACAATTTGAAGTTGTCGATCATCTAATGGAAATATTCGGAACGTTTGGAGCCCCAAAAATTCTTTAGTCCGACAACGGAAAGGAGTTCGCCAACAGATTGATAAGCTTTTACTTTTGTGTCCTATCGAATTTCTTTATGACGCTTTATTTTGTTTGCTTTTAGGTCAAAGAACTCGTGAACCGTATTATTGTTTATTTTTGTTTTATTATTGTTTATAAACTCGCTTTTTGGTATTATTGTTTATTTTTGTTGTTTAGTTTGGTCGAAAAATGCAACTTGCAATGAAAAATGCAAAATGCAACTGCAACTAGAATGTCGAATAGTGCATAGTCGTCCTCGACACTCGCAGAGTCAAGGACGAGTCATATAAATGATGAATCAGATAGAAAATGACGAAAAGGGCCCTTTTATAGCCTTTGGTTATAAAATTCGCACTCTTTAGAATGCGTTTTTAGCTTTTAAGCGCCTTTTAGAGAGCTTGAGTTTGTGGTATTGACTTGAGTCAATACATAACTCAAGATTTCATTTTGAGACTTAATCGGCTAGCCGAGGAAGTCTCAGACTTCTTCGGCTGAAATCCTTCATCGGCTACGACATATACATAATCCACAATTTTAATTTTTCATGCTTTTAACACATCAATTTTATAAGTTTATTTAAAAGAAACATTGAAAAAAAAAGAAAATCAAAACGACAAATCTGGGTTTTTTTAGGACAAAAATGAGCACTTTTTAAACCAAAAAAAACTGACAAGGAAGAACTGAAGATTTCGATTTGATTTTATTTGATTCCATTTGATTTCATTCGATTTAGGGCAACGTTTCTTGCGAAAAACACTGCGCCAGAAAGGTTGCGTTTACGAATTTTTGCCTCAATGTCTTTCTGACACAAAAAGCTTTTCTAACATTGTCAAATCATTGAAAACTCTTAAAAATATGAAGGCCCGTAGACGCAAAGTGAACGCAGGCAAATAATACCGTAACTGGGATGAGTTTTTTTGTTTAGAAACATTTAGAAACATTTAGAAAACAACATTAAAAGTTGTCTAGAAGTTTTGGTCAAACTTTTCCTCAAAAATATTGGGTTGGTGAATTGAAAACTGCGGGGCTTTGAACTAAAATCTATTCAACATAAAACCATCAATTCATTCCAAACAATTTCCATTATTATTGACGACTTCTGCCCATTTTACAGGCAATTTGCGGATTCCCTTTTTCGTAGTAGGATTTTGGTTTGTGTGTGAGACAAGTGTGAGACTCAGAAATGGAGGACTGGAGATGTCGAGATGTCCCAGTTTGAGCATTTGAGCACTTTCTTCCAAAGAAACCCATTTTGGTGTCAATAGAAAAGCTGTAGAGTATCAAAAATTAGGCTTATAGCCAAATTTCCAAAAAGATACACTTAGTTGGTTCGCTTAAAATGCAAGTTTTGTTGCAAGGTTTGTTGCCAGTTTTGTGAAAATTCGTAAATTTGGCATTTCTTGAAAACCAGTTTTTGAATCGTTCTGAGAATTTGGATATAAGCTTGATTTTTGATTCTCTACAACTTTTCCATTGACACCAGAATGGGTTTCTTTTGAAGAAAGTGCTCAAACTGTCACATATGATAATAGCCGGCAGTTTTCAATTCACCAACCCAATACTACACCGATTTTGTTTTTTTTAATTCAAATCACATGCAAACAAATAAAAAACAAATAGAAAACAAATAAAAAACGATTTTGGAATGAAAATTTTAGACATTTCGCAAATTTTAGACAAATTATCACAAATTTTAGGCGGGTTTTTTAGAAATAAACGGGTTTAAACCTTAAAAATCTTTTAAATATGGCTCTTTGAAAAGTTTGAATGTTCTTTCATGGCTCGCAAACGCGTAAACGCAAGTCTTCTAGCGCATGGGAATGCCATGAATGCCATTCTAGCGCATGGCAATTTGCCTTTTTGATTGGAAGATTTAGAGCGACTGAGCATCTGATCTGATGAACAATCTGATCTGAACAAAGTAATCTTTTACATCAGTGCATTAGATTCCTTGCGTTTTCGCGGCACTCCAGAACAATCAAAGTCACAATTTGGCGCCAAATATAGTAATTTCAAAAGAGACTTTTTTGAGATATGCAAATTTGAGGCCAAGAGGCGATTTGAGGCAATTTAGGTTTTCTAATTATCCACCATTTAGAAAACTCGTTATTCCACGAATTCACAATGTCGCGTTCACTCAAATTTTCATTTCTCAATTTACAATAAAAACATTCAGAAGCAATAAGCAATTAGACATCAATCTATGCATTTACAAATATCGCACAGCAATCAAACCGATCATGAGGGAAATGAGACCTGCGAGGAGGGAGGGAGCGTCCCTTGTGGCCCTCTTGGCTCCCGGGTTCTCGGGGGCACGCTTTAGCGCGCTGGCCGAGTCCTCTTGGGGCCAACAATCCGGGCAAGTCTCTTGCAGAGCACGTCTTTGCTTCGACGAGTACGAGGTTTTCAGCTGGAAATTTAATTCACTTGCAACTTTGCTTTGGCCCCTACTTTTGGTCCCTACTTTTGACCCCTACTTTCTGCCCCCAATTTTGGCCCCTACTTTTGGCCCCTACTTTTGGCCCCTACTTTCTGCCCCCACTTTTGGCCCCTGCTTTTGCTCCCCCACTTTCCACCCCTGCCTTCCGCCCCTACTTTCCGCCCCGACTTTCTGCCCTCACTTTTGGCCCCTACTTTTGGCCCCGACTTTCTGCCCCGACTTTCGACCTCCACTTTCTGCTCCACTTTCCTACTGTACTCCCAGTTTACCGCACTAAAAGCTACCGTACTCCTAGTTCCTTACAGTCTAAAGACACATTGCTCAAATCTGTTCAGTGACCCAAGCTAAAGCTGCACTTTTCTAAAACATGCTCTTCAAAAAAGTCGTAATCCTTTCTTTATGCCTTGAAAGTGTCGAGGTTATTAAGTAATCAAACCCAAAAACGGTAGCTTACAGTAACCAGAGTACGGTAGCTTTTTATGGAATTTGGATCACTTTTACCTGCTCAGCGGGATCATAATAATCGTAGAGAGCCAATTGGGCGGGTTTCTGATCAGCGACATGGTAGACGAGATCCGAATAGAGATTCAAGCAGATTGGTGACGAGTCAAGCTAAATTTGTTGATATTAATAGGCTCAAGGTCAGCTTAGATCAGCAGTTTTTGGCTGGATTTGATAAGCTGAAAGAAGCAGCTGAAAACGAGTCAGCTCAAATTGGGCTGCTAGGGTCTGTCCTATTACAGGACCTATGACAGGATCTATGACAAGACCTATGACACGACCTATGATAGGACCTAGCAGTCCATTTGTGGACAAGGTCAGATCAGCGAGTGGACAGGCTCAGCCTGACTTTAGACTGATCTTAGAAATCAACTTTGATCAGTTTTGATCAGTTTTGATCAGCTTTGATCAGTTTTAATCCCAGTTTTGATCCCAGTCTTGCTCCCAGTCTTGCTCCTCATCTTTAGGCAGCTCATCAACTCAATTTCCCAACTCACCGCATCGAAATAGATGTTCACTTGGGTGTCATCCTTATCAAGCTCGATTCGCTGCAAATCTTTAATATCTAAACATAGATCAGTAGAAATTTCCACAAAAGAAAATCACAAACTTGTCAACAGATTTGCCTCTTCTTCATCGAATTTGTATCCAGTTAGTGCTTGCACCTCGGCCAATGCCATGTTTGACTTGCCAGTTTTCGTGTAGCTAAAAAGTTTGACAATACTGTACTAGCAACAATATTATACGGCTTTAGCAATTATTTTTCAATTAGGTTTCTCTTAAAACCCACTTGCAGCACAACTCCAACTGCATTCGACTACCGCCGCGCATTTCCTTGAGATCTTTCGTACAATAGAAAGGAGTTTGATCCCGTTCGGTTTTTCGGTGATACCAATAAGCCACCTATTGAGATAAAATTAATAATCTTAGAAAATATACAGGTTAATAGCTTTTCTGTAGCTTTAGCTTTTCCGTAGCTTTAGCTTTTTACTCACCTGCGCGAAAACGATTCCTTGTCCGTCAGCCTTGAGCATCACCTCGGGATTGATCTCGCTCAGCTGAAAAAAAAATCATGATTCAATTCTTGTAAACATTCCAGGAATTTTGCAACTTAGCCTCTTCTTAGCCTAGGACCTGAGCTAGAAAACTCTAGCCAGAAGTCCAAGTCTTAGGTTAGGGCTAGTCTTGCTGTGGGACAGACTGGCTCAGGACTTGCCTTGGGACAGGCTAAGCCAAAGCGTGGTTACAAAGCTGAGAAATTTTTCTGCACAAGATCTGAACCAAACCTGAGTCTAAGCCTAAGCCGAAGCAGAAACCTAAGCCTAAGCCTAAGCCTGAGTCTAAGCCTGAGTCTAAGCCAAAGCCTAAGCCTGAGTCTAAGCCTGAGCCTAAGCCTAAGCCAAAGCCTAAGCCAAAGCTTAAGCCAAAGCCTAAACCAAAGCCAAAGCCTAAGCCTAAGCCTAAGCCTTTCCACCTTAGCTTAAGCTGAGGAACCTTTTGTAGTTAGATTTCCGGATTGATTAGATATTTTCAAGCTCAAGCCAAGGATGATCGGGCTTAGGGTTGAAGGGTTGGGCCTAGGTTCAGAAGGGTCGGGCTTAGGTCCAGGATGATCAGGTTTAAGTTCAGGATGATCGGGCTTAGGTCCAGGCCTGGCTTCTGGCGTTCAGGGATTTGTTGTCTGAAGCCAAACCAGAGCCTGACTTCAAGCCTGGCTCAGAAGCTTTATCTTTCATGTCCTACATGTTTTAGTGTGTTCATAACTAGACAATTGCTTTCTCCTGCTCACCTCATAGCTCTGCAAAACGATGCTATTCGCTGGGGTGACGGTGAAAGCTTGATTGTCGGCTCCATTCACCACTCTCACATTCACATTTGAGTTTTCTGAGTAGGCCTTAGCGGCATAGGCTCCCATTGCTTGAAGGGCCATTACAGTGTCCTGAAAATTGATTGTAAATTGATTTTGAATCGATTGTAAATCGATTGTTTCGATTTTGAATTGGATTTTGTGTTTAAATCTTCTTATACCTGTGTGCTTGAGTATCCACCGAGCTCGTTTCGCTTTGAGGTAAGCCAGCGAACGATTGGAAGACCCTGGAAATTTGGTTTTAGCCTTGATTGGATTGGATTTGGATTTGGATTTGAATTCCCCAGCCACCAATCACTCCTTTACCTTAGCCGTATCTCCATCCAACATCGTTGTCAACAAAGCGTACGCCGTCACTTCAACATCAACTGGACGTGGCTGATAGAAATCGGACTTCTCTTCGGGATCATTCGGACGAGCTTCCCAATGAACTGTGCCATCTAATGGATTCAATTAATATATCTCAATGTTTGTATTTCAATGTTCTAAAGCTTAAAAAACAGAAGAACAAACAAATTTCTTAAACAAACCATTTCCAACAGTCTTCAACTTGTCGAGAGCTTCAATGGCGGCGGCGGCTTTCGTTGAACCGGCTAATTTGAGCGCATAAGCGGTGACAGCCAATGAATAGACATCCGATTGAATGTTGGGAAGGGAATTCTCAAGGAAAGCAATCGCCTTTTCGTTTCTTACCTGAAAATAGATGATCCTAAGCTATTCAAAACGGATCCTAGAGTCTGTAAGCAATGTCCAGGCCTGAAGCAATGTCCAGGCCTGAAGCAATGTCCAGGCCTGAAGCAATGTCCAGGCCTGAAGCAATGTCCAGGCCTGAAGCAATGTCCAGGCCTGAAGCAATGTCCAGGCCTGAAGCAATGTCCAGGCCTGAAGCAATGTCCAGGCCTGAAGCAATGTCCAGGCCTGAAGCAATGTCCAGGCCTGAAGCAATGTCCAGGTCTGAAGCAATGTCCAGGTCTGAAGCAATGTCCAGGTCTGAAGCAATGTCCAGGCCCAACTTCTGGCACCTTCAAGCACTTTATAAGCCAGGTAAAGTAAAGCTAGATTAATTCAATTCCTAGCTTCTAATCTGGCCTTGTTCTAGGGCTTTACTGTTACTTTAGTTGAGTGTCTTGGCATTAAAGCAAGCTCCAGCAAGCAAGCTCCAGCAAGCTCCAGCAAGCCCAAGCAAGCTCCAGCAAGCTCAAGCAAGCTAAAGCAAGCTCAAGCAAGCTCAAGCAAGCTCCAGCAAGCTCAAGCAAGCTCCAGCTAGCTCAAGCAAGCCAAGAAAGCAAGTTTACCCCATTCTCCAAAAGAGTCAACACAACATAGGCTGTCAGTGAGACACCACCGCCTTTACTTCCGCCCATCATATCCTTGTGAAGAACTCGACCATTATCGTTAAAAGAACCGTTTTCCTGGAAATGAATTGCTATCAAAAATAATAATTTTTAAATAGTAATTTTAGAATACTCGTTTTAGAATAATAGTTTATTACAAGTTTTATTAAATGAATACTTTGAATCCTTTGAAAAAACCCACATTTTGGACTCCATTAAGAAAAGCGATGCTTTTCTCAAGAACCTCCTTGTCGACAAAGATGAAGTCACGAGCCTGGGCAAAGGATCGAACCTGGAACATAGGACTTTACATACTGTGCCTATATGACTACTTTAGTATACAGTAGCTGGCATACAGTAGCTGGCATACAGTAGCTGGCATACAGTAGCTGGCATACAGTAGCTGGCATACAGTAGCTGGCATACAGTAGCTGGCATACAGTAGCTGGCATACAGTAGCTGGCATACAGTAGCTGGCATACAGTAGCTGGCATATAGTAGCTGGCATACTGTAGCTGGCATACTGTAGCTGGCATAGAGTAGCTAGCATACTGTAGCTAGCATACTGTAGCTAGCATACTGTAGCTAGCATACTGTAGCTGGCATACTGTAGCTGGCATAGAGTAGCTAGCATACTGTAGCTGGCATAGAGTAGCTAGCATACTGTAGCTAGCATACTGTAGCTAGCATACTGTAGCTAGCATACTGTAGCTGACAAGCTGTAGCTGACGAGCCGTAGCCTAACGGTAGCGCCTAACGTAGCCGGCCTAACGTAGCCTACCGTAGCCGGCCTACCGTAGCCTACCGTAGGCGACCTACCGTAGCTATACTGGCGTAGGCATACTGGAGCCTACGCCATACTGTAATAACACAGCCTCTCGTAGTTACACGACATACAGTAGCTACATGGTATACTGTAACTATATGGCATTCTGTAACTATATAGCAAACGATACTATATAGCAAACTATGCTATATAGCAAACTATACTATATAGCAAAGTATACTATAGCCGCAATAACTCTAGAGCTATCTCTAGCTAAAATTCTTATCCCACCACAAAAGCCGTCAACCAAGTCGATCCATGCTGATCGCTGTTGCCGAAAGCCGAATATGAGTTGTCGTTTCTTCTGTAAATATACAGTCATTTAGGTTAGATAGACGAGTTAGAGGAGTTAGAGAAGTTGGATAGCTTTGAAAGATATTTCACCGATATGTGAGCTCTCGTTGATAGCCGCTTTCCATGTATTTCTTGGCTTTTTGCTCGAGTTTTGGATCGGCGCGATTTGTTGAGCGAAGATATCTAAAAATTTTCGCTTTCCACATATTTCTATCAAAATATCTACTAGATAAATATAGCTAAAGATCTAGAAAAATAGATAAAGATCTAGAGAACTAGCTAAAGATCTAGAGAATTAGCTAAAGATCTAGAGAAATAGCTATAGATCTAGATAAATAGCCAAAGATCTAGAAAAGTAGCTAAAGATCTAGAGAAATATAGCTATAGATCTAGAGAAATAGCTACCAAATAGCTACCAAATAGCTACCAAATAGCTACTAGAAATCCATCTTCCTTTTCTCCTCTCAAAATACTCACTTCATGACGACAATGTTTGGGACAAAGTTGAGCATATTTTGCTCACCGCATCCCGATGGCATATTCACCAAACGATCGATATTTGTTAGCACTGGGCCCATAATGTCACCTAGAATTGTAAGAATTGTAAGACTTGTAAGAATTGTAATAATTGTAAAACTTGTAAGAATTGTAAGAATTGTAAGAATTGAAGAGTAAGACGTAAGATGTAAGAATTGTAAGACTTGTAAGAATTGTAAGAATTGTAAGACTTGTAAGAATTGTAAAAAAATCGAGTTTAGTATCTATAAATTTTGATCTATAAAGTTTATTATCTATAAATTGATAAAACAAACCAATAATGTCGACTCGTGCCTTTTGACTTCCCTCCACTACATCAGCCGGGAATTTTAGGGGAATCGTTTTCGAGAAAGTTGATTGATTGTTCAAATCAATGACAACTGGCTCATTTCGATCGACACGATAGCCTTCTGGCTGAAAAATAGAAGCTAAAAATAGAAGCTATTAATAGAAGCTAATAATAGAAGCTAAACAAGCTATTCATTTAAGAGCTCTTTTTAAAGTCTTTAAAACGTTGTAACGTCTTTAAAACAAAATGATAAAGTCTAATCGACTACTATCCCGTCTAAATTCAGTCTAAAAAGCTTACTGTAATGGATCTAAATGATCTATGAAAGTTTATGATAGTTTTAAGAGCTTCAGACTTCAGCTTCAGCCTCAGACTTCAGCTTCAGCCTCAGACTTCAGCTTCAGCCTCAGACTTCAGCTTCAGCCTCAGACTTCAGCTTCAGCCTCAGACTTCAGCTTCAGCCTCAGACTTCAGCTTCAGCCTCAGACTTCAGCTTCAGCCTCAGACTTCAGCTTCAGCCTCAGACTTCAGCTTCAGCCTCAGACTTCAGCTTCAGCCTCAGACTTCAGCTTCAGCCTCAGACTCAGCTTCAGCCTCAGACTCAGCTCAGCCTCAGACTTCAGCTTCAGCCTCAGACTTCAGCTCAGCCTCAGACCAGCGGTTCAGCCTCAGCTCGCTTCAGCCTCAGACTCAGCCGCCTCAGACTTCAGCTCAGCCCAGACTTCGCTTCAGCCTCAGACTTCGCTCGTCAGACTTCGCTTCGCTCGCTTCAGCTTCAGTCGCTGCTCAGCTTCGCTCAGACTCAGACTTCAGCTTCAGACTTCAGACTTCAGCTTCAGACTTCAGACTTCAGCTTCAGACTTCAGACTTCAGCTTCAGACTTCAGACTTCAGCTTCAGACTTCAGACTTCAGCTTCAGACTTCGCTCAGCTCAGACTTCGCTTCAGCTCGCTTCGCTTCGCTTCGACTTCAGCTCGCCAGCTTCGCTTCAGCTTCAGACTTCGCTTCAGCTCAGACTTCAGCTTCAGCTTCAGCTTCAGCTTCAGACTTCAGACTTCAGCTTCAGACTTCAGACTTCAGCTTCAGACTTCAGCTTCAGCTTCAGACTTCGGACTTCAGACTGCTTAAATGAAGTCAAATGAATGACTAGATAGTAGATCTAATATCTAATAGATCTAATATCTAATATTTAATAGATCTAATAAGAAAAAGCATTGGACTGGTTTATTCAACCAATTCATGTCAATCACAAGACAGAAACAAATGTAATTGAAACCCTAACCTAAACTGCTTAATGCCATAACAGGACAGGAAGGCTATCCAACAAGATAACGGGGCACTAGGGCACTACTTCATCTCACATCAACAATGACCACTGCTCTTTTTTGCTTCTTTTGCTTCAGTGGCGAATAGCTCAGTGGTTAGAGGAATTGGAAAGGTGAAAAGGAAAGGAATTCGAGGGTTCAATTCCCTCTCTGGGAATCTACTTTTTTCCCAATTCTTTCACAATTCCCAATTCTTCACTTCTTTATCTACCTCAACTTTCAGCGGCATTTCCACAGCGTCACCAGCTTTCCCACCAATCGCCTGCACGTGTAACTTGATTTCACCGATCTTTCGAGGCTCGATTGGGAAGTAAACTGCCTAAAGAGATGAAGAATATAGAGATTTTGAAGAAAATAGAGATCCATTGAGCTTAAACGCTTAAACATAGAGCTTAAACGTGCTAAAATTTGTATTCAAAGATGCTCACCTTCGATACACCACCGCCAGGCACCGAAACAAGTCTCATACTGGCTTTAGAGTCTTTCCTGAATCATTTAAATGCAAATTTTTTATTAATTAGTTACTAGTTAAGTTAAATATTGAAAAATTTGAGAAAAACTTTGAGAATTTGAGAAAACAAACTCAGTATTAGCTGTTCCATCTTTGTTCAAGAACACGAAATCGTTATTCTCGTTCTTTAGCGTTACAGAAACCTGGAAATGATTTATTTTAAAGATTTTGTCCATTAAAAATTACATTATTCTTTAGATTTTCCATTAGATTTTCATTAAGACTTTAAACTTTTAAACTTTTAAACTTTAAATCATCTTTTAAATTACATCTTGTTCATTTTCCATGTAGTTAAAGACGAGCACTTGAAGAGCGAATTTCTCTCCGCGTTTAACTGAATACGGTAAGTTGAGACGAATGAAGAATGGCCGGAAGACGCGCAGCTGGAAAATTTCAATGCTAAGTTGGTCTTCGAGGCTTTAAGAAGGCTTCTTAAAGCCTTCTTAAAACCCATTTGATTACACAAGTCGTTCACCCAAGTTTCTAGCCGATTTCTCGAACCAAATTCTATCTGAACACTGCTCATGAGAGATTCAGCTGAATTTACAGCCTTCCACTTGGCTTCTGCCTGACCTCTTTGGCTGAATTGGAGTTGCAACTTGGTCTTGTCAAGGCAGATCAAGTCAGATCAATGGCCTAAGCTGGCTTCTGCTTTGGATTACGGTACTTTTACGTAATCCAGAGCAGAAGCCGGCGCTCCTGGCTGAGCTAGTCTGGCCTGACTTGAGTCCTCTAGAGCTCAATTGAAAGTTCCCCAATTTATGGTGCCATGGTCGAAAGAACCCTGTTTCTTAGTCGGGAGGTCACTGGTTCGATTCTAGCGGCTAGAAAATTCTGCTCTTTTTCATATACATGGGTTTTTCTCATCAGAATACTTGATGAAACATCATCAAGTATTCTGTGTTGAGTTGGGAACGGCTTCTGATCACAGAATGCGATCCTGGCACCGGATCGGCTTCTGTCGGGATCGGATTCTGACGCCGGATCGGCTTCTAACACTGGATCGGCTTCTGACACCGGATCGGCTTCTTTCGGGATCGGATTCTGACGCCGAATCGGCTACTGATCACAGAATCCAATTCTGACACCGAATCGGCTTCTGTCGGGATCAGCTTCTGACACCGGATCGGCTTCTGAAACCGGATCAGCTTCTGCCGAGATCGGATTCTGATGGGACCGGATTTTGGTCACAGAATCCAATCCTGATCCCGGACTGGATTCAGGCATAGAACCTACGTTTTAAAAGCAAACCTTAGCTGTATCTGGTGCAACACCAAGCCCGGATTGTTCATGAATGGCGAAAGCCGAGGCCACCCACGAGGTGATCGTATCTGGAGCCTTTGCCTCGTAAATCGTCTCTCCATTGGCACTGAAAATTTTCAAATTGAATCATTGGAATTTGGACTGAATGCTTAAACTATTAGCAATCAGTTAAATGGCAATTTGTAATCATTTTCCACCTATTTCTTCTCATTTCTTTGTGTAGCGTAAGTTCTAGCTATAAAAGGTAACTTTCTAAAGGTTTACGCAGTACTGGTGGTACTGTAGGGACTATATAATACTGTAGTTTCTATAGAATACTGTAGTCTCTATATATTAGGTTGGCAAAAAAGAAATGCGCGTTTTCGTTAAAAGTTTATTTTATTATAAAAACAAGATAACAATACATTAATCCAAAAGGTATTCGCCATCTGCATCAATGACTTGTCGCCAACGTTCACGCAGAGAATGGAAGCCCTTCTTGAAGAACTCGACCGGCTGCGACTCGAAGAAGTTGGACACCCAAATTTGGACCTCGTCGCCGTTCTTGAACTTTTTCTCGGCCAAGGAGTGGTGCATTGATCGGAACAGATGGTAGTCGGAAGGCGCCAAGTCTGGGCTGTATGGCGGATGAGGCAGGACTTCCCAGCCCATTTCTTCAATTTTCTGCTGGGTGATTTTTGCGACATGCGGCCGAGCGTTGTCGTGAAGGAATTTTGTCGACGCCGTATCCACACCTTGACGTCGCAGCGCCTGGTCCACGCGGTCCAATTGGCCTTGGTAGAGGTTCGTCGTAACTGTTTGACCCGAATCCAGAACCTCAAAGTACACCAGGCCTTTACTGTTCCACCAAACACAAAGCATCACCTTTTTTCCGTGGATGTCCGGTTTTGGAGTCGGTTTTGGAGCTTCGCCGGGGTCCAACCACTGCCGCTTTCTTGCTGCGTTGTCGTATTGGATCCACTTCTCATCCGACGTAACAATGGAGTCGAAAAACCCACTGTTCTTGGCGCGGTGAGCGAGAATTCCGGCGATTGCGATGCGTGTCGCCTTGTTTGCGTCGGATAGCTTATGCGGTACCCATTTTCCGCATCTATTCGTCTTGCCCATCCCATGCAGATGGTTCTCAATGGTGGCATGAGTGCAGCCGAACTGTTCTGCCAGGTCGCGAGTGGTTTGGCGTGGATCCGACTCAATGGCTTCCTTCAATGCGTCGTTGTCGATGACTTGAGGTCGACTCCCGTGTTTTTGGTCTTCCAAGCTTTCGTCGCCGTCTTGGAAGCGCTGGAACCATCGTTTACACTTTCAGATAGAACATCTTCGTCAAACACTTGAGATAGAGCGCGATGAGCTTCAGCAGCCGATTTGCCTTGCTTAAATTCATACCACAAGCAGGGCCCGCAAGCGAAATTTTTGGTCCGACATTTTCTAAACACTCTTTCTTGTAAAAAAACAAAGTAAACATAGAAAACTTATATATCAAACGATGCGCAAGAACACGCTCTTTCCAATAGAATAAACTATTTAAAAAAATCTTTTACTGTGAATAAAATACAAATCAACAAACACGACGCTCATTTCTTTTTTGCCAACCTAATAATACTGTAATCCTCTACAAATAGTGCTAATAGTTAAGAAAAAGATCGAAGAATGAATTCAAAAAGGTTCAAGATTCAAAATGTTTCAGTGAATGAGATTTTTCCGAAAAAAGTAGTACAAAGATGAGTATAAAGATCTAGAAAATCCGAGAAAATAGAGATTTTTATCTAAATTGACAATTTAAATCAATTTAAACCAATTTAACTCAATTTAAATCAATTTAGAATCAAATGCAAGTCAATTTACAATCAAATGCAAGTCAATTTCCCATTCACCCACGCCTCAGCTCCACTAAAAATCCACGACTCCGGGAAATCGGAGCGAATTTTTCCAATCGTTTTCTCGTTTTTCTCGTTTATCTCGGCTTTCCTCCCATTTTCCAATGATTCGACGGCTTTCATTTTTTTCATTGTTCTCAATCTCACTGAAATCTTCGAGAATCCAAAGGATTTTTCTATATAAAAGCAGTGATCCCAAGCTTAAAGCCCGAAAAAAATGGCATGCAAAGTAAAGAAATGAATGGAAAACGAAGAAAGAATGATTGTTTTGATGAAAATTTTGATCCAAATTTTAGATTCCAATTTTTCCTTCAAATTTCTTTTAAAACCTTTTTTTTCTTCACCTTTCAACACAATCAAAAACCCAAGTTATCGGAAAATATTTCCGAATTTGCGGTGAAGGAAAATGAGCCCGGGAAAGCCTCAAATCTGCGCCGAAATCCGCGTAGGCGAGCACAGGAAGAACCACTGAATTTTCGGGGAAAAGAAATTTATAATATCGACATATCGACACGCTAATATCGACAAATTTTAGATAATTAGATAATTATTAAAATGAAACGGCGCTTTCTCTATAATGCGGAAGGATTTTTCTTTCTCTGCACCTTATTTAGATTATCATTTAAAGTGAAAAACATATTTCAAAAACGACGACGAATTTCCGGGAAACGACGCATTACGTGATTTCCTAGTTCACCTGTGGTTCACCTGTCGGCTTCTGACACCGGATCGGCTTCTAACACCGGATCAGCTTCTGACACCAGGTCGGCTTCTGATGGGACCGGATTCTGATTACAGAATCCGATCCTGAAACCGGATCAGCTTCTAACACCGGATCGGCTTCTGTCGGGATCGGCTTAGATTGTCATTTAAAGTGAAAAACATATTTCAAAAACGATGGCGACGAATTTTTGGGAAACGACGCATTACGTGATTTCCTAATTCACCTGTGGTGGGCCAAAAAACTCGCAAAACGAAACACGAGCCAGACAAAACACATTTTCCATCTTTCGTTGGCTTATTTCGTCTGGCTTGTGATTTTACACTTACAAATACAACATTAGAAAAAAACTGTGATATCATCGAGCTGGTGAACCGCAGCTGAACTAGGAAACAATACGCCGGCTTCATATCCTCTTATCCGCAAACACGAACACGAGTAATATGGAGAAAGGGAGTGTGACGTCTTGGCACGCGATGTGAACCTGTTTGATGCAATTCTGGAGGAAATCAAAGCTTTTTGGTCACCTGGGACTACCGCTGGATTAATTGCCTTTTACCAATAAGCCTATGTTTGAGTGGAATAAGAATCTTGTTGTAGAATTTACTTTACTGAGTCTAAACAAGATGCAGAGAAAAATTCTCCACTCCGTTATAGGGAAAGCACCAATGAAACAAAAGACATTGAGATTGGATTGAAAAGGGTTTAGTTTTCGAAACAAATTCAGCAACAAATCCAAGAGTTATCAATGACGGATTAGAAAAAGAAAAAAAACTTGACAATTTCTGCTCTTTGCTTGCACAAATGCACATCATTTGGCACACTCGAACACTCAACATTTGAACTTTATTTGACAGGCTCCTCAGAAAAGAAAAGAAATAATAAGCTGTCAAAAACAAGGCAACTACTTCATCAAAGTCTTCACGAAAAGCCAAATTGTAGTAAAGTTTGAGTCTTGTTCAGATCGAGAAATCTAGCGCTTGGCCCAACCTAGCGTGGCCCAATCTAGCGTGGCCCAATCTAGTGTGGCACAATCTAGCGCTTGACCCAATCTAACGTGGCCCAACCTAGCGTGGCTCAATCTAGCGCTTGACCCAATCTAGTGTGGCCCAATCTAGCGTGGCCCAATCTAGCGTGGCTCAATCTAGCGCTTGACCGAATCTAGCGTGGCCCAATCTAGCGCTTGACCCAATCTAGTGTGGCCCAATCTAGCGTGACCCAATCTAGCGTAGCCCAATCTAGCGCTTGACCCAATCTAGAGTGGCCCAACCTAGTGCTTGGCCCAATCTAGCGTGGCTCAATCTAGCGCTTGACCCAATCTAGCGTGACCCAATCTAGCGCTTGACCCAATCCAGCCCAATCTAACGCTTGGCCTAGTACAGAACAGAATATGGCATAAACTGAATGGTACTAGATTTGCTTGATTGGCATAGTGCTAAACTTTTGTTCAAAGTTGCTGAATCTGTTAGCCAACTTTTCACCTAATCTTTCCCTCATCGATCCAAGTCTCCGGGAATTTCGTCCGTAAACTTGGGCGCATTGCCGGCTTTTCAAAGGAGTTCGCCTTAGAATCATAAACAGCTCCAGCAGCATTAATTGGACTGCTAAATCGCCTCATTTCCAACTCCATCACGTAGCGCACTAAACGATTAGCTCGTTTTAAAAGAACTAGATTAACTGTTTTAAAAGATCAACTGTTTTAAAAGATCAACTGGTTTTGAAAATAACAAAGGATGAGTTAGAGAAACATTTAGGTAAGTTAAGAACTCACTTTAAGCGGTTAGGTTTTAAAATTTGAACAAGATAGACTTTTTAAACAGTTACAACTCTTTAAAATATTATTCCAGCGGTCATAGATCGTAAAGATTTAGGAAAAAAATGATAAAACTAGAAAAGAAGATCGTAGATAATGATATATTATTGTAATTTGGCGTTGTTTTGAAAGAAATTAGCTGCCAGTAAACTGGTAAAAGTTGGATTTTCAACAGAAAGTTGAATACGAAGAGTTTGAGAGCTTTCTATACAACCGAAATCAAAACCAACACTTTCATTTGTTCTTTCGACTAAAGTATTGAACAAAACTACTTTCGTTTCTTTAAAATTGGATTTAAATCCTATTTTAAATCCTAATTTAAAGTTAGAGATGAATTAGAGAAACATTTAGGTAAGTTAAGGACTCACTATCAGCGGTTAGGCTTTAAAATTTAAACAAGATAGACTTTTTAAACAGTTACAACTTTACAAAATGAGTCCAGCGGTCATAGATCGTAAAGATTTAGGAAAAAAATGATAAAACTACAAAAGAAGATACATAATAAGGGTCTTTATAAGGGTTCTCTCACAGCTCTCAAGCCTAGCTTGATGGTGTAGTGGATAAAAGGCTTGTAGACGAGACGAGAGCTGGCTGTTTTTGCTCGAGTTCGATTCCTTCTTGGGTTTTTAGCAACACTTGTCTTTATAAGGGTTCTCTCAAAGGTCCATGATGGCTTAGTGGATAAAAGGCTTGTAGACGAGACGAGAGCTGGCTGTTTTTGCTCGAGTTCAATTCCTTCTTGGGCTTTTGGCAATACTTTTCTTTATAATGATTCTCTCACAGGTCCTTGATGGCTTAGTGGATAAAAGGCTTGTAGACGAGACGAGAGCCGGATCTTTCTGCTTGCTGTTCGACTCTTCTAGTTCGACTCTTTTAACAATCTTTTAACAATACAGTCTAGCAAGTTGCAATCAATAGAACTTTTGTCTAGGATGAAATTCAGAAGGAAAACAACTTTTTGTGTACTAAACTGACGAATCTAATGCACCGAATGCATCTAGAGATTTAAATGGAAATTCGAGCTTGAAAAATCCACAAATCTATCCACAAAGTTGATAGATTTGTGTGAAAAAAGGTAAGATTTCGGAGAAAAGATTCGAGAAAGAGTTGGAACGTTTTAGAAAAGCCTATTTGTCTCTTTTTGCACACCAAATCTTTCCCTCGTCAAGCCAAGTCTCTGGGAATTTCGTTCGAAGACTTGGCCGAATTGTAGCCTTTCCAAAAGGAGCCACCACTGCTTCATCAGGCACATAATGGCCAGCGACATCGGTGGGTAAAGGCGCCATGTCTGCCATTAGTTCTTGTCCATCAGCACTCACAAAATAGAAGGCTAAACGATTTTAAATGAGAAATTAAAGAATTAATGCCAAAATTAGGCGATTAATGAAGAAATTCGACATTCGCCAACAACATAAACTCTTAGAGAACTAAGAGATTTTAGTGGTAAAGCAAAAGAACGTGAAGAAAATAGAAATTGAGACTTGGGGAGAACTTGAAAGAAATTGAGATGAAGTTTTTGTGTGAAAAAAAGTACATGGAAAGTTGATCTAATATTGCAAAGCTCTTCTGTAATTCGATTTTTATTCAGAAATTCTCAAGCCACCCACTCCAGGACAGAAGCTAGGCCTAGAAACTTTTGTGGGCTAGGGTAGATCGTAGAAATGATAAAGCTTGAGCTTGAGCTTGAGCTTGGCAAAGCTTGGGCTTGGGCTTGGCAAAGCTTGGGCTTGAGCTGGGCAAAGCTTGAGCGTGAACTGACAAAGCTAGCTCCAGGACAGAAGCTAGCTCCAGGACAGAAGCTTAAGCCACCCACTCCAGGACAGAAGCTAGGTCTAGAAACTTTTGTGGGCTAGGGTAGATCGTAGAAATGACAAAGCTTGAGCTTGAGCTTAAGCTGACAAAGCTTGAGCTTGAGCTTAAGCTGACAAAGCTTGAGCTTAAGCTGACAAAGCTTGAGCTTGACCTATCTTTACTTTAAAGTAAAGTTTTGAAGGTAACCTCTTGGCAAAAGTTGATGGAAAAGAATATTTGCTTTTTATAAAATCATCGATTTTTTTGGAAAACTTATTTAATCTTCTTTTTTATATTTATACTTTTAAATATTTACTTTATTTTTACGCTTTATTTTAAGTCAAAGCTTTTCATTTTTAATTTAATTTAATTGAGATTTCCTTTAGATCATCGTGAGTCAAAAAGGATTTGCTTTGCGCGTGTCTACGATTGCAAAATGGAAAAAAACGCTGCCGAATCACATTGTGATCTCTGTTCGGCTTTTGGAAAACAAGGAAAACAAGGAAAACAAACCAAAGGATGCCAGCTCTGGTTTAATTGATTACCAGAAGCTCCGTAACTTTACTCTAGGCACTCTAGGCACTCTAGGCAGAACCTGTTTAACTCGACGCATATCCACGATTCCGGGAACTCGGTTCGTGTCTTGATCACCGGTTTTTGAATCTCAGCTTTGTTTGAGCTTGATACAGGCTTTGGAATGGCTAGGCTTTGTCTTGAAAAAGCTGAGGCTGATGCAGTGCGACCACGAGCAAATCCGTGAAAACCTCCTCTTCCCTTGTACAGTCTTCGTCCTAGATGGGTCTGATAAAATAACGGTAACTTTATACTATTGATCAGCAAGTGCTCCAGAAAATTGAAAGGTTAATGGAAAGCTAGCTGGCAAGCTGTCAAGCCTGGCAAGCTGTCAAGCCTGGCAAGCTGTCAAGCCTGGCAAGCTGTCAAGCCTGTCAAGCTATCAAGCTATCAAGCTATCAAGCTGTCAAACTTTTTTCAAAAGCGTGAAGTTAACAGAATCTGGACAAATCGGTGGAACGAGATAAGGAATCGATCATAAAGTTTTGAGTTTTCTGACAAAGAAAGGTTCAAAGTCGTTCAACAAACCTCGAAACTGTTACATATACAATCTCCATACAATTAAGTACTTTTCCGTACGCTTAGGTACTAGCTACTAGCTTGCCAGGCTTGACAGCTTGCCAGGCTTGACAGCTTGCCAGGCTTGACAGCTTGCCAGGCTTGACAGCTTGCCAGGCTTGACAGCTTGCCAGGCTTGACAGCTTGCCAGGCTTGACAGCTTGCCAGGCTTGACAGCTTGCCAGGCTTGACAGCTTGCCAGGCTTGACAGCTTGCCAGGCTTGACAGCTTGCCAGGCTTGACAGCTTGCCAGGCTTGACAGCTTGCCAGGCTTGACAGCTTGCCAGGCTTGACAGCTTGCCAGGCTTGACAGCTTGCCAGGCTTGACAGCTTGCCAGGCTTGACAGCTTGCCAGGCTTGACAGCTTGCCAGGCTTGACAGCTTGCCAGGCTTGACAGCTTGCCAGGCTTGACAGCTTGCCAGGCTTGACAGCTTGCCAGGCTTGACAGCTTGCCAGGCTTGACAGCTTACTATCAATAAGTACTATTAGGTACCCCAGCAGTTTCCCCGATTTTCTGATACTTTATACTTTTCCGCAAAACTTTTTCTGGATTTCTAGCTACGAATTTTTCAAGCTATCTTTTCGTCTAAATGTTCAGCGATTTTTTTAGACGTTCAGCGATTTTTCTAGACGTAAAGATAGAGGTTTGAATTTGAAAATCCTGGAATTCTAACCAATAGATCCTGGAAACGAAGCCAAATAGTCAAATCTCGTTTTTCCACACAATTAGACGATCAATGACAATCAGACGATCAAATGAACAGCTTTAATATTAAAGGTTCAAAACTAAATCGATCTAATCGATCTAGTCGATCTAAATCGATCTAATCGATCGTTTAGCATCTCCTCAACAAAGTTACAGCTCCATTAGAGCTACCAGATCTGCTCCACCTTTAGCATCTTCCCAACAAAGTAACAGCTCCATTAGAGCTACCAGATCTGCTCCACCTTTGCATATCATTCCAAATCCAAGACTCCGGGAAATCGGATCTCGTCTTAGGCGCAGCGGTGGTTAAAGATTGTTGTACGCTTGGTGCAGAAGCCGGCGAATCCATCACCATTCTCGCATCATCCGCGAAAAAAGCTCCTCCTCCAGCTGCTCCAAAAGCAACCACTAAAAATCGGCTTTTCCTTCAATAAATCAAGTGAAATAGTGCAGTGAAAATGAGTGAAAAAAGGGTTAATTAAAAGGAATTAAAAGGTGACAATCAAAGATCTGCTTCAGCAAAGATCTGATTCAGCAAAGATTCTGCTTGAGCAAAGATCTGCTTGAGCAAAGACAGCATACAAATTCAAACGGAAAATTGAGCGCTTTAATCTATTGGATCTTTGGATCTAAGAGCATAAAGATAGAGATTAATGGATTTAAGAAATTCATTGTAAATTCTAAAATGATTAGATGATTGGTAGGTGATTGATAGATTGATAGAAACCTCATATAAAGCGGGTAGCCTTCTCCTCCTACATCATCTCCTACATCATCTCCTATTGAGCTTAAGCATCTCGTCAGATCATCTCAAGCATCTGTTTCGGTTTAGTAATTTCGAATAAAAGTCTTGCTATTTCATGCGCTTTAGAATCCAATTCGTTTTTCTTCTTTTTCTTCTATTTCTTCTATTTCTTCTATTTTTCTTTTGTTTCTATGGAAATGTATAGAGACCCCAAAAGCTTGTATGCCAAATATCTCGCAATAGAGAAACGTTTAGCAAAAACTGATTGCAGATTCGGAATCAGCGTGAAAAACTGGATCATATAGGCTATTTCCCGAGTCAAAAAGCTACGACAAGTTAACAACATCCCTAGTAAGGCGAAAGCTCATATAAAGCGGGTAGCCTTCTCCTCCTACATCATCTCCTACACCATCTCCCACACCATCTCCTACACCATCTCCCACATCATCTCCTACACCATCTCCTACACCATCTCCTACCCCATCTCCTACATCATCTCCTACACCATCTCCTACATCATCTCCTCCACCATCTCCTACACCATCTTCTACATCATCTCCCACATCATCTCCTACATCCTCTCATTCACACAAACGATAGAGCCTTCCCCTAGGTCTTAATGTGTAGATTGTGATTATGTGTTTGCAAAATAGAACACCAGTAACGCTAGACATTTTAAAGTCTTTGTAGTTAGAATAAGATTAAAAAACTTGAGCTAAGCTTGAGCTAAGCTTTGAGTACGGTAGTTTTGACGAGCTTAATTCCATCAAAGTCCAAGTAAAAGTCGAATTTTCTATTTCAAAACCTCTTGAGATCAGTCCAAATCCAAGACTCCGGGAATTTCGATCGGGTTTTCATTTCGACTTTTGCAGAGAATCCACGAGCCGACTCCAAAACCGATGTTGATGTTGATGTTGGTGGGCCGGGCATTCCGGGCATTACGGTCATTCCGGCCATTCCGGCTATTCCGGCCATTCCTGGCGGCTCTTCCATCATAAACATACGAGGTTGCCATCCTAGAGTGTGATTTAGACAATAAACTACAAAAAGAACGCACTGTCACACTAAAAACCCTTCTAACTTTCTTTAAATCTTGCCGAATTGTGATGATCTATAGCTCAAAAAAATAGAGAATCTAAAGAGCTTTCGAATGGACTAAAGCATATTGAAAAATATGAATTCTAAAGAAAGTTACGCTTCGACTACGCGCGAGTACGGTCCGTTTCGAGTTAAACCACTGTAACTTTCTTTAGAATTCATCTTTTTCGATGTGCTTTAGTCCATTCGAAAGATCTTGAAATTCTCGATTTTTTGAGCTATAGATCATCACAATTCGGTGGATTTGAAGGCAGTTAGAAGCGTTTGTAGGTTAGGTTTGTAGTTTACGTTTGTAGTTTACGTTTGCAGCTTGTAGTGAGCATTGAATCTTACTAACTTTTCATGAAATTCTAATCCCAATCTAACAAGCTGCGGCTTTTTTAAGTGAAAAGCTGACAAGAGACCAGAAATTTGAAACAAGATACGAAAAAATGAAAGTTCAACATGAGAAAGAGACAAATAGTACAAAGTACAAATGTAAGTACAAATTTAAGTACAAATCTATGTACAAATTTATGTAGAAACTGATGAGTTAATCAATGATTTAAAATGTTGCATTGTTGGCAACAAGAATCAACATTTTGGCAAAGAACTTGGCTTTCAAATTCGGCTTTAAATTCGGGTTTAAATTTGGCTTCAAATTCAGCTTCAAATTCAGCTTCAAATTCGGCTTTAAATTCGGCTTTAAATTTGAGTGATTAGCGCGTTCAAATCCTGGTAAAAATCCCGGTAAAAATCGCTAATCGTTCGCAATCGATTTAATGAAGAAATTCGAAACAATCACTAGCCAAATACCTTCTTCTGGTAAAGTGATGAAAGAATTTGAAGCTACGAGATTAGTTTTAGCTTCAAAGCTTTAGATTTAGCTTAACTTCAGCTTAACTTTCCCTTCAAATGCAGTTATTTTGTTTACTTAAAGCATAAAGTCTTATCAAACTCGATTACCGTATTCTCTCTAATAGTAGTGGACCCAGAGCGTTGCCTAAATTCCTCGAAATCTCGAGAACCGCTTATCAGAACCTATTGATGTGGGGTCGGAAAATGTAGCTGACGATGATTTGAGTGTTGAGCTTCTGTGAAAGCTTGGGAACCGTAAAATAGTCATCAACTCGGCTCGACGGACTACTATTAGAGAGGATAGAGTATTCAGCTTTGCGCGCGCTCCCAGGGGTTTTCGGCTATGGAGAATCTGACTTTTGGGTCTATTTTTTAAAAAGGGCGGAGCTTAGGCTTAGGCTTAGGCTTCGGCTTAGGCTTAGGCTTAGGCTTAGGCTTAGGCTTAGGCTTCTGCTTCGGCTCAGGCTTCTGCTTCGGCTCAGGCTTCTGCTTCGGCTCAGGCCTAGGCTTAAGTAACAAATTCTTAGCTCAGCTAACGTTAAGAACTCGATGAATCAACAAAATTTGGGTTTTGTTTAGTCAAAACGCAACTTTCGGTTCCATGCTTTCCCCAATTCCCGCTTCGCTTAAATTCCTCGAAAACTCGAGAACCGCTTATCAGAACCTATCGATGTAGGGTCGGAAAATGTAGCTGACGATGAGATCTTGACGATGATTTGAGTGTTGAGCTTCTGTGAAAGCTTGGGAACCGTAAAATAGTCACCAACTCGGCTCGACGGACTACTATTAGAAAGAATACGGTAATTCTTTAAAATCCTTTATTAATCTACGACCTTGACTGGAAATCGGTCCAAATCCAAGACTCTGGAAATCTCGATCTCGTTTTTACGACAAGAGTGGTTGGTGGTGGGGCTGGGGGTGGAGGTGGACCGGGAAAACCCGGAAAACCCGGCGGTCCTCTCATCGTTCTCATCGACATTGCATTCAATGGCATTTGACTCCGCACTCCACCTCTTAGCAGTGATTGGTAGTAGATTCCTAATGGGAAATTTGTTTAATTTAGAAAACAATACGCTAAACACTTTCCGTGCCTGTACTTTTTGCATACAAAGTACAGGCTTACAAAGTACAATCTAAGACAAACGAGTGAATGAGCTACGAGCAATTGCAATGAAATACGAACAAGGACAAGAATATGAATCGATTATGAATCGATTTAGCTTCAAATTCAAAAACAACTAGAAAGATTGAAAAGAAAAGAAACTTTAGTCATTGAAATGAACTCTTGCACTTCTCTCCAATCCTTTTCAAAGCCAAGCCAAGCCAATCCAATCAATTCTGTTCTTGTTTTAAAGTCGAATTTTCTTTCAACCTCTGCAGATCATTCCATATCCACGACTCTGGGAAATTCGATCGTGTTTTCGGTGCTTCATTGTTGAAAGCCAGTGATGGAGCGGGTGCAGGAGGTGGAGGAGGTGGAGCGAAGACGGCCATCTCTGGCGCGGCAAATCCACCAGCCATTGGAGCCGGTGCAGCAGCCGGCATCGCCATTGCTTCAAAGATCATCACTAGATCATTGTACTTTCTTCTCAACTTTGTAAACCGTAAACACCCTTTTTCTGGAACAATGAATTCTGGAAATGAGTGCAAGAGAAAGATTTCTTTCCAGAATTCATTTTAGAAACGGTTTTGTAAAAAGTAATACGAGTAATACGAGAAAGCTTTGTTTAAAGCAAAGTGCTTAATTGTGAGAAACCAGAAGTTTGAATGAATGGAATGAATGGAATGGAATGAATGAAATGAATGAAAGTTTGATGAATAAAAAGATTGTTTAAAAGGTTTAGTAGCTTTAGAAGCTGTGAGCTCAAAGAAAAATGAGAAGCACAGCCATGGCATCATAGTCATGACATCATAGCCATGACTTGGATCATACCCATACCCATGACCTGGATCATACCATGACCTGGGTCAGACCCAAGACCTGGATCATACCCAAGACCTGGATCATACCCTTGAACTGGATCATACCACTGACCTGAGTCATACCTATGACCTGGAGCATACCCATGACCTGGGTCATCCCCAAGACCTGGATCATACCCAAGACTTGGATGATACCATGACCTGGATGATACCCATGACCTGGATCATACCCATGACCTGGATCATACCATGACCTGGATCATACCCATACCCATGACCCATGTCATACCCATAATTTAACATTTTCATACAAAATTTCCCCCCTGGATACCCAAAATTACAAGTTTTTTATGAGAAACCTTTCCATGCTCATCCACATCCACGATTCCGGGAAATTCGATCTTGCTTTCACAGCTACTTGATCACTTTTCTTTTCTTGTACTTCTTGTACTTCTTGTACTTCTTGTACTTCTTGTACTTCTTGTACTTCTTCTGATTCTTCTATACCAACAGTGTCAATCATTCTCTCTTCATCTTCACCAGCAAACATTCCTTTAGCCATTGCATCACCTGGTAAATCAAATTCTAGATCGGAAAAGTGAGACAATTTTCTTTTAACAATTACTTACTGATGACAAATTGGTTAAGAAATGTGAAAGATGTTGAAAGAAACGACTACCGATAGAATTTGAACGAACTACAAAGAAAAGTAAGTAAGACTTCTAGTAATAGACTTGCTTGTTGGCACTCAACTGGCTGGCTGGTTGGCACTCAACTGGCTGGCTGGTTGGCACTCAACTGGCTGGCTGGTTGGCACTCAACTGGCTGGCTGGTTGGCACTCAACTGGCTGGCTGGTTGGCACTCAACTGGCTGGCTGGTTGGCACTCAACTGGCTGGCTGGTTGGCACTCAACTGGCTGGCTGGTTGGCACTCAACTGGCTGGCTGGTTGGCACTCAACTGGCTGGCTGGCACTCAGCTGGCTGGCTGGCACTCAGCTGGCTGGCTGGCACTCAGCTGGCTGGCTTGGCACTGACTATAGGACTGAAGCGTCTGCTGGAGCTGGGAATACAAACGAGCGAGAACCCGCGATCTCTCGCTTACCGGGCGAACGCTCTACCAATGAGCTCCTGCTGTCCTGTTGCCGACAGAATAGGGCTTTATGCCTTCCGGGCGTGTCAGGCTCTTTCTTTCTTTCTTTCTTTCTTAGGCTTGGTTATGCCAAGACTCCGGAAAGTTTCAGCGAGTTTTTGCCGACATTATGACGATCATGGAATCCTCAAATCGTAGAGCTCAAAGAAATAGCGCTGACAAACTTGAGCTGAGCTACAAAACTTGGTAAATCCTAAAATATCAATACGAGATACGAAAAGGATGAAACTAAATCCAGAAGTGAAACAGTGAATTCAATGGAATGTCAAATGCAATGTTTGATCAATTTTTGATCAATCTCAATCATTTTCAAGTCAAATTCCAAGTCAACGAACGAGACAAGGGACAAAAAAAGCTTCACTTCAAAGAAAAGCATTCGATTTCATGCTGAATGATGGGTAAATGAAGAAAAGAATCCTACTGATCTACTGATCTACTTGATCTACTTGATCTACTTGATCTACTTGATCTACTTATTCATCTACTTATTTATCTGTATTTTATTACTGTAATCATAGCTTTGTATAGCTATAATGAATAAAGAGATGAGATTTTTTAGTGCTTGTTCTAGATCTAGAACTTGTAAGTTAGGTAGACAAGGCAAGGCTAGAGCTTGGTTCTGCTAGAGCTTGGAAAGGTTCTGCTTGGCCAGGTTCTGCTAGAGCTTGGATAGGTTCTGCTAGAGCTTGGATAGGTTCTGCTAGAGCTTGGATAGGTTCTGCTAGAGCTTTGCCAGGTTCTGCTAGAGCTTGGCCGGTTCTGCTAGAGATTGGCCAGGTCCTGCTAGAGATTGGCCAGGTCCTGCTTAGCCTTGGCTTGGCTAGCTTGGCCAGAAGCCAGACCCTGGTTTAGAAAACTTATTTTCGAATAGCCCTAAGGGAAAAGCTAGAGTTGTAATAGTCAAAAAGCAGACTAAAACGAGAAAACTTAAAAGTGTGACAAAAATCGAACTAGCTTTAACTGGCTTAAACTGGCTTAAACTGGGTTTAACTGGCTTTGCACTGGCTTTGCACTGGCTTAAACTGGGTTTGCACTGGCTTAAACTGGCTTAAACTGGGTTTAACTGGCTTTGCACTGGCTTTAGCTGGCTTAAACTGGGTTTAACTGGCTTTGCACTGGCTTTAACTGGCTTAAACTGGGTTTAACTGGCTTTGCACTGGCTTTAACTGGCTTAAACTGGGTTTAACTGGCTTTGCACTGGCTTTAACTGGCTTAAACTGGGTTTAACTGGCTTTGCACTGGCTTTGCACTGGCTTAAACTGGGTTTGCACTGGCTTAAACTGGCTTAAACTGGCTTAAACTGGGTTTAACTGGCTTTGCACTGGCTTTAGCTGGCTTAAACTGGGTTTAACTGGCTTTGCACTGGCTTTAACTGGCTTAAACTGGGTTTAACTGGCTTTAACTGGCTTTAACTGGCTTTAACTGGCTTAAACTGGGTTTAACTGGCTTTAACTGGCTTCTAAAACTGGGATTTTGAAAGGTTCCTGTAAAGGATTGCATTTCTAATCTTAATCTCTTCTTCGTTTCTATTTCCTTACTCAGTATTTTCCTCGATCCATGCAAACGACTCGGGGAATAGGGATCGAATTTTCGGTGGCTCACCACTTTGCACTACTGGAGCGCCCCCATACCCCTGTACGGCCATCGCGGCCCCTTCACCCAATTCCAACGATTTGAAAGCCATCACTGAAACTAACCGATCACCTTAGGAGCTAAAGGAAATTTTTCTGATTTTTGTTTTTCTCATTCTAACGTGCCGAGGGGAAAATGGGTGGATTGACCGGGGAAAGAAAAAGAAAAGAAAAGAAGAGGATTACAATACGCAGGCAACTCAAGGCTCCAAGAAACACCGCAGATTATTTTGCACTTTCAACTCAACAAACAAAGGAATAGTTGAAGGGGAGAGGTTAGTGAAAATATAGAAAAAAAAAATTGAAATTTATAGAAGAACTAGATTTTTCTAAGTGTTCAATTTTTAAATAGAAATCAATGAAACAATTAGAGTATTTTCCCGACAAGTAATGCCTTTTCTAAAGGTTATAGAACATCTGATAAACCCTTTTCCCATTGCTGATAAGCTAATGGGGCGCGTATAAAAGGTCTATGGCCCCGCCCCTTTCCCATTAGCAATCTAACTTTGAACTCAAATATCTTAGTGTTGGATTGTCCAATTTTGATCTTCTTGGTATCATTAGATGCGCCAAGTCTTTCTCTATCGATTGGTACAAAAACTATTGCAATTGAACAGCTCGACACTGAGAAATTTGAGTTCAAAGTTAGATTGCCAATGGGAAAAGGGGTGGAGCAAAGGGGGCTGGGCGAGCTTTTATACGAAAAACTGTGATCTGAATATAAAAATAACAAAGAAAAACAAAGGGTTATTGCAAAGAAAACGAATGAAAAGTTGATTTGAAAATGAAAATTTTAAATTATTCACTTTTTTTTGCTCACTTAAACTTTAATTTTCAATTTATCAATGCTTGGCCTTGGCTTGGCTAGGTTGGCCTTGGCTTGGCTAGCTTGGCCTAGGCTTGGCTAGCTTGGCCTAGGCTTGGCTAGCTTGGCCTAGGCTTGGCTAGCTTGGCTAGCTTGGCCTTGGCTTGGCTAGGTTGACCTTGGCTTGGCTAGCTTGGCCTTGGCTTGGCTAGGTTGGCCTTGGCTTGGCTAGCTTGGTCTTGACTTGGCTAGCTTGGTCTTGGCTTGGCTAGCTTGGGCTTGACTTGGCTAGCTTGGTTAGCTTGGTCTTGGCTTGGCTAGCTTGGCCTTCGCTTGGCTAGGTTGACCTTGGCTTGGCTAGCTTGGCCTTGGCTTGGCTAGCTTGGCCAGGTTCTGCTTGGCCTCAATCCTTTTTTTAGCTATTTACTTAAACTAACATATTATTGTGCTCAATGTTTATCCAAAGCCACGTCTCAGGGAATTCCTTGCGAACATGGTTGACGGGTGAGTGTGTCGGCGAGAGGCGGGTGCTTTCCCCGCGTGGAAACGTGGCCGGCGTTGATGGGAACCACTCGCCCGCGTTCAATGCCGACAAATCAACGCCCATCCCCGTTCTCATCATGTATTTGACTAGATATTTTATGAAAATTTGACTAGATATTTTTATTAAGAGCGATTCTTTTCTAAAATAGTTTCTAAATGATTTTAGATTTTAGATTTTAGATAAACCTAATTCCTAACTAGGGAAAGAACTCAAGGTGAGCTTTTGTCTCGACTTTAGTGCACTTTATCGAATCGAGTATGAGGAATTCGAATATGAAATCAAAAACAACGAAATGTCTTTCTAGAAGTTGCTTTAAAAGTGCTTTAAAAAGGAAAAATGAAAAGGAGCTGCACTGTGGATCGAACTCTGATCATGTGGGCTCAAATCTAACGAGTTATCCACTAGACTAACAACGCTCCAAATCCATAATCAAAATTTCCCAAATCACTTCCCAGGTCTGTAAAAATTCAATCAAAAATTTGGTGTCGTCGGAGTCAAAAGGATGCTTTAAA